TCTTATAGGCCGTGCGAAAACTCGGGTTATAATAATTATGCCATTATTATTAATTGATAAAATAATAAAGTTTGTATCACTTCCTTTTTTTTTTTTACTTTGCATTTACATTTTTTAAAAAAAAAATCACTTTATTATTTATTATGATTGTTTATAAGAAATAAATAATAATAACAACAACAGCAGATTAATAAATAATAATAATAATAAAGCTGTTTATTTTTTTTATATTGGGGTTAAAAAATTCAATTTGGGCGTTTACATTACATATTATGTATATGTAATTACATACCAATATCATCATCATCATCATCATTTACTTTTATACTATGAACTTTCAACGATTTCCTCTCAGAGAACATAACAAACTCATAATAAAAAGGCAAACTTAAATGATTGTGTTGCGTTAATCATTCGTTCATTCATATTACTACTTTTAAAAACTTTCCTCGCTTTTTCTCTTTTCTCTTGTTATAATCATAAATAAACTTTATATATATGGTTATAATCATTAACTGTTATAATCATCATTATTAACGTTGGCGTTGTTATTATTTATTTATTTATGCTATTTATTCTATTTATTCTATTTATATTATTTACTAAAGGTGTATACCGTTATTTTATATATATATATATATTCTGTGTGTGTTAAATAAATATTAAATAAATAAAAATTAAAATAAATAACATAAATAAATAAGATTAAATAAATAAACGTTACTAATTATGTAAAATTTTACATTGATACTAATAACAATTAAGTAGGAAAGTGTGTAAAATGTGTGAAAAGCATGATGATATTAACAATTACCAACAATTAAGTAAATGTGCATATACTAAAATGTGTTACTGTAATAAGTTAAAATTTTTTAAAACCTTCCTATAGGAAATTTTTAATTATTTTATTTTTATTTTTTTATTAAGTACTGTGTACGCCTTGTACGATATGCTATGCATGCATGTTATCGTAATATTTATTCATTAATATTTATAACTATATATTTACTTAAACTATATATTTACTTAACTATATATTTACCCAACTATATATTTACCCAACTATATATTTACCTTATTTATACTTTTACAATAAATCTTAAAATATACATTTTTTCAACGCACAAAAACCATCCACTACCTATCCTCATTCACCGCCTCCCTCCTTTCTTCCCTTCCTCGTTTCAAAAAAAACCAAAAAAAACTTGAATTTTCTTATTTTTTATTCTATTTATTGTATAACGTGTGTATTACAATAAAAAATACGATAGGTATAGGTAATGGTGAGAAGTAAAAATAGTAAGTAGTAAAAATAAATATTATTAACAACTAAGTAGTATTATTATAAATATGTTAACAGAATAGTAAGTAGTAAAAATAAATATTATTAACAACTAAGTAGTATTATTATAAATATGTTAACAGAACGGAATTAAGCAGTATATTATAAACAAGCAATATTTTAAACTGAATAATTACTGTAATAAGCAAAGTTCGTATATCTCGGCAAAGTCCATTTTTATTTTTCCCCAATCGTTTTTTTTTTATTATTTACAAAGCGTCATTTTATTTTATTTTGTCGTTTAATCATTTTCACATTCTCACTCGCATATAACGTATAACATATATGTATGTATATATGAAGAGAATTTATTAAACGTATATAGAGTAAAGTACTTCCAAAAATTATTATTATTATTATCTGTTATTATTTTTACGTTATTATTATTATCAGTATTATAAAAGTAAGAAGCATATGATACATAAGAGACATATGAGATTCATTGTGTAAATGTAAATGATATATAATGGTCATAATTATCATGATATCATTCCTGGGATTCATGTGAGTCGAGATATTTTATTATTATACCAGATATAATACCAGATATAATATAGCCAGATGTTATACCAGATATAAAACCAGATGTAATTTTAACCAGATGTTATACAAGATGTAAAAATAACCAGATGTTATACAAGATATTATATAATTGACAAGAAGAGAAGCACATAGAAGAAATATTAGAAGTAGTTGGGTAGGTAGATGAGAACATAGATAAATATATAAATAAATATAAACATAAATAAATAAATAAATATATAAATAAATAAGTAAATATAAATAAATAAATAAATTTATTTTCTAAAAAGGCGTGATTAGATATTTTGTAATTTAAAATAAATCTGAGAAAATTCCGGAATTCGAGATTCTTTATGTGATCGTTACGATTAGAAATTTATCAAATACGCGAATCGTAAAAATAAGAATAAGAATCAACAACAGTAATTGATGTAATTAACAGAGTTAACAACACAACAATGTATAACAAGAATTAACTATATCATTAACAAAATGCATAATAACAATTGTTAATTATTAAAAAACAATTAACAACATGCATAACAATTGTAACAATTGTGGAATAAACATAACAAGAACATAAAATTAACAAAATGTATAACAATTGTAATGAATTAATACTTAAAATAAAATAAGGATGACGTCCTTTTTCACCTTTCCAGCTTTTATTAATATAAACCTAAAAATATTTAATAATTCACATAGCATAGTATATTCTCTTTTTTCTTTATATCCGATTAATTAGTTTAAGAGCATATTTAATCAATCAATTATAAAAATTATTTACCCCCTTTTTTAATTTAATAAAATTAAAAATTATTTACCCCTTTTTTTAATTTGATAAAAAATTAAAAAAAAATTTTTTTACAAATAGAATTAACTTGAAATTGTTTATAGAATAAAATCTTTGATCTGATTTCCCAAATATTCTTCACACAATCTCTTAATATCTGCCCAATTCTCCAATAGCATTTAGAGATTATACATAGAGACTGATGGAATTGATTATCTCAAAAATTAATAAAATAAACTTTTGAAATATTCAAAATTATTAGAAATACATCAGTTCAAAAAGGAGTCAGTATTTTCCCAAATCAGAAATTTCCATGTACAAATATGACATGAAAGTTTTGTCCAATGAAATGAAATCAAAACTTAGAAAGAGTTGCTTGTGGTTAAAGGAGTTGTTGATTGGAATATAATACAATAAAATCTGTTAGGAAAGTGCTTGACCCGGGTTATCGATGTATTTGTATTGTAATTTTTTATGAAGTAAATGAAAAAAAAAAAGGAAATGAAAGGGTAATTAAATACTCAATTAAAAAAGAATATTATGATCCAGGGTTCATAAAAAAGAAATAATGATTAAAAAAAGTGATCATGCCATCCTCACGTGCCTTCATGCAGCTTCTTTTTTACCCAACAGCATATATCCAATATGCACTCCTTTGTTATGCCAGCCCAGTTTACATAACTGTAAGTTTTTTTTTTTTTGAAATTTAACAATTACATTGGAAAAAGTCTATGTCAAATATTTATGTTGTCAAATTTTGGGTAATAATTATAATGATCAGCAGGATTCTTCAGTTATTATTGCATTCGATTCGTGGTGCACATAACATTTCTCATCATCATCTTCTTCTTGTAAATATACATGTTATGTCATGTCTCCAAACAACTTTTTTTCACAAGTTGAAATGAAGAATGTGTGTGGTACTAAATTAGTTAATGAATTTCAAACCAATATTGTAATTAATTTTTATTTTTATATTTATAATAAATTTTTTTTGATGAATCTTATTATTTTTATGTGTTCTAAATGTTATACTTTGGTCTGAAAGAGAAACGACCTGCATACGCCTTCCTTTCTTGAAGGAGTGCCAATAACTGCAGAACCTTTTTTTTTTGGAAATAGAGATATAATTGCTACAAGAATGATGATGATATGGAAGAGGAGGAGGAGGAGGAGAAAAGGACCTGAGCAAAAAAGAAATTTAGAAGAAATTAATTTAAAATCAATCAAATATACTAATTATCCACTGGATTTGTTTCATTCTCAAAGGACAACCTTCTGCGAAACTATGATCATCCCCAAGTAGTACAAATAAATTTCTGTATATATTATTATTAGGTCAAATCTGTGATTGATTGAAAATTACAGTTTTGAAAAATACAATTAATTAGTGTAGTTTGATGATAAATTTGCTTTAAGGTTGTGGACAAAAAAGATCTTTACCTATTCAAGTTTTTTTAATAAGTAACAAGTTTTATAAGTAAATAAATAACGCTCCCAACCACCCAACATTCAACGCACACAACACGCCCTAACACAAAAACAAACGTAAACACTAAACAAACATACGAGTGCCACAAATATCAATAATTAAAAGTCTTTTTTTGCCCCTCCCCAAGGAGTATTAGTTTCTTTTGTGTCATCATCATCATCTTTTTCATATATTATCATATATTATCAATTTATTTATTTTATTTTATTTGTATTGATTGATTTATTTATTTATTTATATTTAATGCTATTATTATTATTATTATTATTACATATTTATATTTAATTAATTATTACTTTCATCTTTTTTTTTTTCTCATTTATTTTTGCACTGCCCATCTTTTTATAATACATACATCTTTTTTATACATCTTACATCTTTATTATGCAAACTGTAAATATATAAATATATAAATGTATAAATATATATAAATATATATTAATATACAAATTTGTATTTAAAAATATACAATATAAATAAAAAGTATAAATAAAAAATAAATAAATAAATAATTAAAAAATAATCTTCCAAATAATCCACAATCGTTTTTTTTTTTTAAAAAAAAATTTCATTCTTCTCTTCTCTTCTTCTCTATACTATTATTTACTTTTGACTATTGTTGTCACTTTGAACTTGTGTTCTAACTTTGATTATTACTTTGTGTTCTACTTTAACTATCGATTTTTATTACTACTATTACTACTTCTATTAATATTTTATTGAACTATTGACTTTTCTTCGAACCACACAATACTTCTTCTTTTCCAAAATATTTTTTTATAATAAATAAATATATAATAAATTTATATTTATATTTTTCTTTTTTTTTCGAAAAAAAAAAATACAAAAAAATGGATTATAATGCTATGCTAAAGACTTTGGGTACGTTTTTATTTATTTCTAACTTTTCATATCATATTCTCATTTTACATATTACACGTAATATATATTGAGACATATATACTTATTCACATATAATATTTATTATATTGATAGCCAAGGAGGCAGGTATTTCAATACCATCTAACGCTTTCGAAAAACCTAACGCTATTCGTACCTCAACTTCTAGTGGTGGTGGAAGTACCGTTAATAGCAAAAGTGGCGGAGGAGGAAATACAAATTCTGGTTATAGTGAAGGAATTAGTAAATGTAAAAAATGTGGTGAACCTCGTTCTACGATTGGTTGGTGTAAACCTTGTAATACAGCTCATCTAAAATCAAAATTTGGTACGTGGACTAGTGGAAATAAAGATTTAGATAAATTTATTGAAGATACTCAAATAAATGCGAGTACACCATTCGATTATATGAGATGGATTTCATTCGAAAGTTTTACCGATGTCGAATTTATTGCTCGAGGTGGATTCGGTTCGGTGTTTTCGGCGAAATCGGAAAATTTTGGAAAAGTGGCACTTAAATTTTTGGATAATTCCGAACAATTGAATAGAGATTTTCTTGATGAGGTAAATTATTAAATTATTTTACTTGTTATTTTATAAATAATATATATTAATTAAATATATTATATTAATAAAATAATATTTAATATATATATATTTAATAAATTCCAATAAAATTTAGCTTCAAGCTCATCATAGATGTAGTTTGGGATCAGGTATTATAGATTGTTACGGGGTTAGCAAAGATCCCGAAACAAATAGATACGTCATGGTGATGAGATACGCGGAACAAGGAGATTTGAGACGTTATTTATCTCAATTTTTCGCTGAATTATCGTGGGATGAAAAAATTGAAGTATTTGATAAAATCGTTAAAGGATTACAAGGAATTCATGATGCTGGTTTGGTTCATCGTGATTTTCATAGGTAATTATTTATTACTATACTATATATAAGTAATATATCTATTATTATCGTTAGTATCACTACTAGTATCGACAATTAATTAATTATTTTATTTTATTTTATTTTTATATTATAGTGGTAACATTTTACGACACGAAAAATTGGTTTATGTCACAGATTTAGGAATGTGTCGTCCCGTAAATGAATCTGAAACCAAAAATGTTTATGGAGTTTTACCTTACGTTGCTCCTGAAGTATTACGAGGTTTACCGTACCAACAAGCGGCGGATATATACAGTTTAGGAATGATAATGTGGGAAATGTCATCAAACGAACCACCATTCGCGGATAGAGCTCATGATTATAATTTAGCACGTGACATTTGTAATGGATTGAGACCTCCCATTATTGTGGGAACCCCTAAAGGTTACGTCGCGGCCATGTTAAAATGTTGGGATTCCGATCCTACCAAACGACCTACCATCACAGATCTATTAAGTGTTTCTTATAAATGGAGATATTTGGCAGATGGCAAAGCCCCTTTCCAAGGTCCCAAACTTAAGAAAGTAAAAACTGGTTGTGTCTCAAATGGTGATGGTAGTAATAATAATAATAATTCTTCACCAACATCGACGAATTCAAGACCAACGACGACAAGAAGTTCAATAATATCGAGAACTTTCTCAACTTCATTATCATCCATAATTTCAACATCAACCTCATTAATAAATCAAAATATAACAAAATCACCAACCAGCACTACATCATTAATATCATCCAGATCAAATAATAATTCAATACACCCTCACGCATTTTACACCAGTCGATTATTACATTATCCGAATTTACCCGAACCAAAGAATTCTGATACTTATACTCTTTTCGACCCTACCACCGGTGAATTACATACCATGATTAGAAAACAATGTATGTTCAAATGATATTTTATTATGATATTTTTATTTGTTTATTTATTCATTTATTTATGATATTTTATTTTATTTATTTATTTATTTATTTATTTATTTATTTATTTATTTATTTATTTATAACCAAAGCAGCAAAAAGAGAAAACCCATCTCGATCAATGTCAGTAATAAAAGAATTACCTTCATCATCATCATCATCACTTAATAATGTTGATAAAGGTAAAGAAAGTAATAATAATAATAATAGAGATAGCAGTGATAACAACAATATTGATAAGAATCAGAAACGAATACTTTCTCGAAGTAAGTTTACACATACATATTTTAATATTCTTCAATTGTTAATAATTTATAATATTTCATACTTATGATAATTTAATAATGTTTGCAGGTATGACGGTTGATAGAAGTCCAATTGATAGAAGCGCGATTGATAAAATAAGGGCGGAACGTAGAAAATGTAAGATTTTATTTATTATTTATTTTAAAAATTTAATAATATAAAATACCAAACCATTAATTTATATTTTTTATTTTTAATTTTTTAATTATTATTTAGTATCACAATATCGATGGTCAACAATTGTCAATGATCTTCCTCCTCAAGTGGAAGTTTCCGGTAAATCTCACAAAGAGTAAATTCGAAAGAGATATATATAAAAATACATATTACTTTTATTATTATTATTATTATTATTATTATTAATTTAATTAATTAATTGATTAATTACTCTTAATACTCCTTTCTTCTTCTTTCACCTTGTGACAGCAACATTATAAATATTAAAAAAAAAACATTTATTATTTTTGTATGAACAATTTACTTTTAATTTTTTTTTTTTTGAACAATTTATTTCAAAATTTAATCTTTTATTATTATTATTAAAAATTTAAAAATAATAATAATGATGATGATACAAATAATAATAATAATAATAATAATAATAATAAATAATCTTTATTTTATTTTCGGTGTTATTGAATCCTTTTTTTTTTTGTTTCGATTTTATCCTTCCCTCATCTCTTTATCATTAATCTATCTTACCGACACATCATCATTATCATCACCATTATCATTATTATCACTATTGTCATCTTGACCATTATTATTATTACTTTTTCACTTTTAGAAACCAAAAAAAAAATGTTAATACACACAATCTACCATAAATATATATAAAATGATATTATAATATTGGGATAATCTCAAAAAAAAATTTTTTTACTTTTTTACTCTTTTTACTCTTTAGAATTATTCAATTTTTCAAAATTGGGGGTTTTTTTTTTATTTAGTTTAAAATTTAAATTTTATATATGCATACATTTTACTTGCATTTTTGTTAAATTTGGCGTTGTGTTGTTTCGTTAGGATAAAACTACCATTTTTCTTTTTAAAAAAAAATAATTATAATTATTATAATATATTAATAAATAAAAAATAATATTTGATATTAATCATAATAATAATTGAATATCATATCGTATGAATTTTCAACAATAAAATAATAACTATCCGTGATTTCTAGATCTTCACGAACACATGATTATTTATCACAACACATTTATTATAAAATTTCTAAAATTTGCATTGTAATACATCTGGTCTCCCGAAAGACTTGGATGAAAATCAAATAAGCAAGGTAGTAATAATAAATAATTTTTTACATTCAATCATTTAATCATTTACAATAAAATTACCAATTGTCTCGGATAGTGTCTTGGATTAGAGTTTTATATTTAATATTAAATAAAAGTCAAATTTTTTGAATTTAATATTTTTATATATTTATTATTTAATTAAAAATCATAGCTGGTTAAATGAAAAGATAATATTTAAACAATATATTCAGTTTCATTATATAAATTGATTTTCATATATTAGAATTCAAATAATTTAAAGATCATTCTAATCAATATTGCTAAGATCTAAAGATAAAGGATGTAAAAGAGGTAAAAGTTTAAGTTTACTTGTGAGAGATGCCTCAGGATAAATAGGTTCATCTGATGATAATTCTGATAATTGAAAATCTTCTTGACCAGCATTTAAGAACATAAGTGAATCTTCAAGAATCCATTTTCCTAATCTTTCAATAATAATTTTAGACTTCAGACGTTCAGATGGATCTTTGTGCCAACAACTCCTCAAACCCATGACCACAAATACAATATACTAACAATGACACCAACGAAAGCGACGGCAGTAAATCAATTCAATATGTTGGACGAATATTATTAGTTTTCAGCCACATAATAATCATTATAGGAAGAGACAACACACGATTGGAACATATTCGGAATTAAATAACGATATTTTCACACGAGGGTATACCGCGAATTTGGTTAAAGTCATGAAATTGATTGTGTATTTTTTTTTTTTTTTAATTTTAAAATTAAATGATTTTGTAAATAAATTTACTATATCTTTTGATACCTTTCGATACAGAGATAATATATAATAATATCTTATTTCTTTTTTACCAATCCTTGATTAGGCATCAAGTAAAACCGTATCCATTTTTTTTTTTAATTGTTCTAACCAGTTAAATGCTACATTTGGTATCAAAGACATAGTGCGTTTGGTGAATGTCAAGGTGAAAGATAATTTTATGCACACATATAATATTATAATTTATATAATAAGACGCATTCTATAGTGGAATGCTTTTGGATTATTTTAATCATAAAAGGTATTAATCAAAATTAAGATACGTATAATATGTTGACAATAAAATTAATCAATCAAGTGATATACATGATGAACTAGCATGAAGATCTCATGATGTTACTGAACGAAATGTAGTTATCAACTAGTCATATTAATATTGTATTATTGTTTTTGTTATTGTTATTATTTATGAATGCGCGTTCATATTTAATTATTCAATTTATCATTTGTAATCAGGTTGCGTACTATTAGGAAGAATCCTAGTAGCAGCAAACAAAAAAAATATTGTTTTAGAAATACTTATAGATAATCAAGGTATTTGTTCATGAGTTCAAGTAAAAAGTTATATTTAATATCGGAAAGAAGAAATTAAGCAAGTCACAATTATATTATCTTAAAGGAAAGACCTTTAAATGGTAAAAAAAAAAATAAAAAAAAAGTTTGCTTATTTAATAAATTTGTGCTTAAATGACCAAAATTTATAACATCGATAATTTATGATATTGATTTGTTGCGTATATAGAAAATTAGTACATTTTATTTTAATTGTAATAATTAATCAAAATGCTTTACAAATTCATAGAAAATAAAAATTGTAAAATTTTTTAAAAGTTCAGGAAATTTAGTTAAATGAAATTTTTTTATCTATTTTTTTTTTCTATTCTCGAAAATTAATCCAACAACTGATGGCGAAATAAAAGATCCAAAATGTATCTTTTTTTCAATCCTTCCACTTGGTGTCTTAATATGATAATTTAAAATTAAATTATGCATACTAATTTTAATTTCATTTACAGCAAAAAATCTGTTTAAAAAATTAATTTAGTTTTACTTAATAAATATTTATCAAAAAAATTATGAAATTTCTGAAATTTATTATAAAATATTAATTCACCAACCTTCCAGGGCAAGCATGTTTTCCTGAAACAAATATAAAATAATTTTTATCAATTTTTGATGCAGGAAATTTATTTTCCAAGCCATGATAAGGAAGGAATGACCTTGGTTCTGGTCCATATGCTGTGGTATTGTAATAAATATCCATTAAATAAGTATGAACAATACATCCTGTCAGATCAGATATTTATTTTATTTTTTTTTTATTAGCATTTTCAATATTATTAAATGGAAAAGGTTATTGAAAAATTCTAAAATGGAATGGTGCCTTTTGGAATTGTCATGCCATTTTTAAATGTATATGATTCCAAACATCTGTGGGGAATGGAATGTATTTTTTTAAAAAATAATTCTCAATATTATTCTTTAGTACTTATACATAAAAAAAATATATATATAAAATTTACGTGCCCACCACAGAATCAAACGTCCTTAAAGATTCTCTCACAAAACTATCCAATTTCACCATTTTGTTAATATGTTGAGGTGATAATTCTCCATTACATTCTTTATCAATTTTTACTTGCTCTACGTAAATATCATCCCATAATTCCGGTCTTCTTGCAAAATCTATAAAGTAATATTAAATATAAAAATGAGAGATAATTATATAAAAATGATTATAATTTAATGAATATAAATGTCTTTTTTTTTACCATAAAGAGCAGAAGTAAGAGTACGAGAGGTATAGTGAATAGAGACAACAACAAGAATAAAGAAAAATTCACAGATTTTATTCAAGTAATCATCAGTAATAACTTTTGTTTCATATTCAAGATTATTCAAAAGATATTCAATTATATCCAGCTATTGTTATTAAAATATAATAAAATCTTTCTTTAATCGTGTTGAAGTTATGTTAAATTTTTTTTTAATACTCACAGGTGGTTCATATTTATCACTAAGAATTTCTTTATCTTTCAATCTTTTCTCTAATACAGGTTTCAAATGTTTCTTTAAAGTAATCATATGTTTCGAAATTGGATTCCACCCAAATCTAAGTGGTAAAGTGATAGCCTGGGCATGGATTTCTGGATGAATTAATGAAAGAATGAGAGGTATTGCAAGACTTGATGCAAAATCTTTGGTAAAATCAGCAAAAGCTTTGACCACATCTTCGTTTTTTTTTAATCAATTACTTACAATAAAATCAGTGAATCAAGTAATATACATAAAAATTCAATTTTTAAAAGAAATTAGAGAAAGAGGAATATGTCAAAAGCGATGGAAATGTTTGACTCATTAATTAGCACGAAGATTACGTGATATTACTGAATGAAACGTAATTATCAACTAGACGCATTAATATCGTTATTGATATTATTTATGAGTGCGTGTTCATGTATGTTTATATCTAATTTATTCAATTTGTTATTTGTAGGTTGCGTATTATTGGGAACAATCCTAGTAGCAACAAACAGACAGATATAAATAAAAAAAACATATTGTTTTTGATAATCTAGAAATATTAAATAGGAAGGATGTAGAAATTTTTAAATAATGAAGTCATTGTTGAAAGTTATGCATTATTTTGACATGAATAATCAATTATTGATGTAAGGTTCATGGGTTAAGTAAAAAAGTTATATTTAACATTAGAAAGAAGAAATCAAGCAAGTCACCTAAGTCAGCAACAATGATAGCAATTATATTATCCTGAAAGAAGAGACCTTTATATCGCAGAAAAAAATAGAAAATGTTTGTTCATTTAATAAATTTATGATTAAAATTTCCTGAACGTGACCAAAATTTACAACAACTCTTGTTTTAGATAATTTATAATATCATACAATATTGATTTGTTGCGTATACGTATACTACATTTTGCATGATATAAAATTAGAATATTTTATTTTAAATTGTAACAATTAATCAAAATGAATGCAAAAATTCATAGAAATAAAAAATTGTAAAATTTTTCAAAAGTTCAGGAAATTTGGTTAAATGAAATTTTTTTATCTATTTTTTTCTATTCTCGAAAATTAATCCAACAACTGGTGGCGAAGAAAAAGATCCAAAATGTGTCTTTTTTTCAATTTTTCCACTTGGTGTCTTAATGTGATAATTTAAAATTAATTTATGCATACTAATTTTAATTTCATTTACAGCAAAAAATCTGTTTAAGAAAATAATAGTTTAGTTTTAATTAGTAAATATCTATCAAAAATTATGAAATTTCTGAAATTCTATTATAAATATTAATTCAACAACCTTCCAGGACAAACATGTTTTCCTGAACCAAATATAAAATAATTTTTATCAGGCTTTGATGCAGGAAAATTATTTTCTAAACCATGATAAGGAAGGAATGACCTTGGTTCTGGTCCATATGCTGTGGTATTGTAATGAATATCCATTAAATAAGTTTGAACTATACGACCTGTCAGATCGGATATTATTTATTTTTTTTTTAATTAAAAAAAAAAGATTAATATTTTCAATATTATCAAATGGAAAAGATTATTGAAATTTTCCAAAATTGAGTGATACAGTACCTTTTGGAATTGTCATGCCATTTTTAAATGTGTATGATTCCAAAAATCTATGGGGAATGGGATCTATTTTTAAAAAATTTATTCTTATTATTGTTCTTTAGTGCTTATATAAATATATATATTATTTACATACTCAACACAGAATCAAAGGTCCTTAAGGATTCTCTCACAAAACTATCCAATTTCACCATTTTGCTAATATGTTGAGGTGATAATTCTCCATTACATTCTTTATCGATTCTTATTTGTTCTTCATAAATATCATCCCATAATTCTGGTCTTCCTGCAAAATCTATTATAAAACAAAAAATATTAAAAAATGAGAGAATTATATAAAAATAATTTAATGAATATAAAATTATCTTTTCTTCTTTACCATAAAGAGCAAAAGTAATATGACGAGAAGTAGTATGAATAGAAACAACAACAATAATAAATAAAAATTCGCAGATTTTATTCAAGTAATCATCATCAATAACTTTTGTTTCGTATTCAGGATTATTCAAAAGATATTCAATTATATCCAGCTATTGTTATTAAAAAATTATTAATTTTTCTTTAATAATGTTGAAGCTATATTATTCAAACTAAATTTTCTTTTTTTAACACTCACGGGTTGTTCATATTTATCATCAAGAGTTTCTTTATCTTTTAATCTTTTCTCTAATATAGGTTTCAAATATTTCTTTAAAGTAATCATATGTTTCAAAGTTGGATTCCACCCAAATCTAAGTGGTAAAGTGACAACTTGGGTATGGACTTTTGGATGAATGAATGAAAGAATGGGAGGTATTGCGAGAATTGATATAAAATCTTTGGTAAAATCAGCAAAAGCTCTGATCACGTCTTCATTTTTTGATATTTCCTTTAATATAATTTAAAGATATTAAGATATTGTTCCATATTTATGTATAATTTACAATTTGTCTTACCTGTCCAACCAAAACATCAGCTACTGGACGAGCGATTATGCTTGAGAAATCATTATTCACTAATTTAGGATCTAAACAAATAAAATAAAATTGGTAATACTGTTTCAAAAAATAAACTAAGAAAATAAAGGCGACTTACTAGAACAGTCTCCGATTTCCTTATTGATAGAAATCATAAGTTGTTTTTGCATTCTTCCAGTGTATAAAGGTAATTTTGCAGCAATTCCTTCACGTACTGTTTTGACTACTTGTTCCAATGTTTCAGGATACTTAATAATTTTTAAAACACGATACAAAGGAAATGACTAGGTTGACAATATATAATAAATAAATACAATATAAGTATAAATACGGTATTTAATATTTGAAATAACTGATTGATTAGTTGTAAATTTATTTACATCTCCATCTCGTAATTCGCTGTGTTGGTTAAAAATATCGGACCTATAAACTTCATGAGCAATTTCGTTTCCGACTATGGTATTCACCTGACCAAATACATATATATTGAAAGGATCACCGTACTATGCAATACAATTTTTTTTTGTTAATTTACGTATTTCGTTTTTTAATCGTGACTCTTGGAAATTTATTATTATATTATGATTTACTTGTTTTCTACACTCGGCCAAAAAATTTTCGGTATTAAATAAATAATCTAATGTATGTCCAATTATTGGAATTTTATAAGGAACCATCGGAGGTTCATTCTGGAGAAAAAAAAAAGAATGAATTAAAAAAAAAAAAAACTAAATATTATATGATAAAAAAAAAATAAATAAAAAATTACTTACTTTACTTATTATTGGCTTCTTAATCCAATAAATAATATAGATAGCTATGAATACCCACACAAAGGTTGGAATTGTTTCAAAAGAGAAATACATTTTTGATTTTTTGCTCATACAAATAATTTTCCTAATCAGTTTTTGCTGGATTTGTCATATGAATTGAAAAGCTCATTAAACTTTTACCCATGCTTACCTATATTATACTAGATAAAAGAAATTATATAAAATGCATGAATTAAAATTGCTTACCAATAATATTTTTTGGTAAAAGGGTCCATACGATTAACCCCGAAAGTTATGAGTGCACTTTGTGGTATGATTAATTTGACGATCACCATTGTTCAAACTCCTTTTATAAAATAAATAAATAGCTCATTCATCATAAATTTTCGTGCGATGTATTTTTCCTTTATTCGATTTATAGAACTTGTAAATTTGTCGAGATAACGTACTTATTGTATCAGCAATAATAAAAAAAAAATAGAGTTAGATTTAAAACTTTCATTTATTATTTTTGAAAGTACGCAAACTATATTTAATAAAAATATAATATGTGTCAACTATTCGTAACATTCACAAAAAATAGATAAAAAATAAATGCAAAGAAATTTTTATGCGATATATATTTAAAGCAAATACAAAGAAATTGAGAAAAAAATAGATAAAAACAATATAAACAAGAGATCCAAAATATCGATATTTATAAATATGGAATTTATTAATATTGTGATTTTAAGGGTTTATTAATTTACGTACACAAATTATCTTTCATCCTTTTCAATGTGATTATCTTCAATTATGCTAACCTGTTAAATGGTATGCTTTTAAATATTTTTACTCGATGCTGAATCTAATATTAATATATTTATCAAGTATATAAATAATAAGCCAATAAACTCGTATAAAGAATTTTTTAACAATAAAAAGTTCAGACACTAGCTAATTCCCAAGTTTTATTATTTAACAGAAAAAATAAAATTATTTTGTTTATTACGTTCCCAAGTTTTATTATTCATTAAAAAAAATTCATCGATATCAAAAATAAATTGTTATTCACCAATAACCCAATTTTTTTATTTCAATAATTCAAATTTCGGTGAAGTCACGTCGAAGTCCGGTACGGGATGCCTTCATTAATTGGTGAATGCTGGGAAGAAAATTTTTCTTTGTGTCCATCACGAGATTTTCCGTTGACTATGGCCAATCAAAATCGTGAGTTTTTGTTTATACGGATCAGTCCAACGAAGAAAAAAGGTGAAAAACATGAAAAACGCAAGAAACAGATTCTAAACATATCTTGCATTAATAAAAGTGTCGGGGAAGCAATTTTACATATAATGTTAATTTAAACCCTAATCCTAACCCGGCCCTCACTCTAACATTAATTAATTCGGGTAATCATACGATGGACACGGCTTTAGACATCACCGAATTAAACAAAAAAAATAATGTTTCACTGGAAGAAGACAAAGTAATGATGAAAGTAGCAAGATGGAATAACTTGGGATGACCATGAATTAGATGAAAACGCTAATAATTATGTTGAAATTTCATTGAACGGAATGAAAAATTATGTGCCAGGTCGCAAGTCAGTTTATATTGGGAACTCAATTCGAACTAAAAAAGAAAAAAAAAAACTTACATCACAGAACGGACAAACAAGTGATCAATTTTTTACTTCTGAATTAAATGTCGAACACAATCAATCTGATAAATTTGATAATTATATTTTTATTTTAGAATTGTTAGACAACAATAATAATAAGATCAATAACATTATAACAATCAAGCAATTTGTTTACAGGAAAATTTATTAAAAATGAACTTGACGCACCATATAAATTAAAAGTACTGCAGTGTTACAATATATTAGACTTATAAATCACCTATTGCACAGCAATTACGTAAAGGTGATTATTTTGCACGTTGTATACGGGAGTGGGAAAAAATTGTTAACAAAGAAGAGAATATCTAAACGAAGAAAGCATCAAAAAACAAAATCTTTATTCGACAATTAAGACATCCAAATTCAAGTGGCTTCATAATCGCGACAAACTAAATTTGAGTTTTATGTTAACAATTTATAGAATATCTAATAAATAGTGTTTTTCCTTTAATTGGAATCACAAACAAATTAAAGATTAGGTAAATGTTATTATTATTATTTAAAAATTATAAAAATAATAATAATTTTTTTTTATTAATTGGCGAAGCTACTGCACGAAGATGGCTTAAAAAATGGGATTTGAATTTAAGGTGTTTATGTTGATGGACATGTTATTAAATACTGAAAAAGTTTTTGGAAACATAAATGTTTAAAAAAATATTTTAATAATAATTTAATAATTTTATAATTTTATTTATATATTGACATTGGATGTCAAAATTCGAAGATAATTTTGAAATTCAACTTAATCCTGAAATACCTAATAATCAAAGGTTACACATTTTAATAACACATGATGGAACAACTTTCATTCCAATGATGGAAGGTTATCTTGTTGAGAACCAAAAGGAAAAAAATCCATTGAAAAAAAAAAGTAGAAGAAAACCTATTCGCCTTCAAGCATATATTCCGACGAAGAAAAAATAACTCGTACCATGGACGATGTTATTAAAGATTATGATACAGAAGAACTTATCGACTATTTGCATAAGAGTAATTTGAAACTAGATGATGTGACTTTGCGATCCTTCGTAAATAGAAAATAGATGTTTTATCTTTTTTGGAATTAAAAAGGTTGACTTTATCAATTTTGGATTTAAAAGTGTTCCTGTTATTAAATTAGCAAAATTTTTCGGAGGGCTTATTGAAACAAAATTACAGAGTTTCTCGTCATATAAAACATTGGATAAATTGAGGGAGGTACTTCGTAAATATAAAGTCAATGGTGAAAAAATTACATGTATAAAACAATTTAATCCAGATAAATGATATATATTCCTTCTTGTAAGAGAATACTTGCATAGCGGAGCCCAGTGACTAAAGACACATATTTCTACAGTTTACAAAGAAATCGGTGATGATGATAAAACTCTCAAACAATGTATGAAAAAAATTATATTAAGAATTTCGAATTTGGAGACCATACAAGACAGTACCAATGAAGCAACCCATTGTGTTTTTATTACATCTATCCTAAACGCATAATTACAATTACTCGAAAACTCACTAACAATGAAAAAATATATATTGCATACCAAGATGATGTATCCAGCGAAGATTCCTCTGGGCGTGTTGATTATTCAATCAAAGGATATGAGGATCTTATATGTATAGCAGAGGGAAAACCACGTAATGTTGAAATTGGGTACCTCCAAAATATAAAGCAACTGGAGAGCGCGAGTCATATGAATAAAAGGAAACGAACCGCAGATCAGGCTTTTCAAAATGATGATTAGGTATAGCAAAGTTAATCTCTCCGATAAAAATTTTATATATTTTCTGGCGTTAGCCTATCTTCGATTGATTATCTTTTTTTTTCTAGCTACGGAATAGCATTTTATAAACTCGCCACGGAAGGGTTATATTCTACCAGCAAAAGTGAATATCAGATTAATTTATCCAAAACGGCATTGAAGGAGAATCTTGAATAGAAGGGTGTTAAAACAGTAATCGGTATAATTGTGGGCTTATTAAGGGATAGAATTGTAATGTGTGATGAACACGAAATTAAGAAACGTTGTATACAAAAATCTAACAAATGATAGATATTTTTTTGTAACTGTATTTTATCATGTATCATCCGGTATTTATATTTTATTTGTATCAATAAAGGGATAAGCGTGTATTTTTCTTCAATTTTATTTTATTTTTTACCACATTAATAAAGTGGCTCTGGTGCTATTTTCGTATACTTAATCATGTCGTGTTTAGTTTGTGTGTGTATTTTCATCTGTGTGATTTTGTTGCTATATACTGTATGTATACCGATCTTAATATTTTTTTTTTGGCAAAAGAGATTTTTCGTGACGGGTGGTGCTTTCTCGTCACGGTAATTTTATATAAATATCATTTTGAATAATCTACGATTTATATAAAAAATGGCAAACAAATAATCCAAAGTCGATGATCTTAAACTCGAGAATATGTCACTTCATTAGAAGAACGGATTTCCAAGCTTGTAGCTGAGAATATCAAAATTAAAATTAAGTATACTGAGGTTGTGACTGAGAACGCTGATATCAAGGCTGAAAATATAAAATTAAAACGGGATAAAGAAGAAATTCCCAAACTTAGAAGAGAGATTGCCGAATTTAAAAAAAAGTATACTGAAATTGAGACCGAGTGTACAAAGCTAAAGCAGATTATTGAAGATAGTTATAGGCGTGAAGTTGAGCACGTGAAACTCAAAGAAGACACTACTAACCTCAAGGCCAAAAACGCTGAATTTAAAGCTAGAATTGCAAAAATAGAACAGAAGCACTTGCGAAATAATGCTGTAGATAGATTAGAAGACGTTAATACAGTACATCCGAACTTGTTATAAATCAATGCACTGGCTGTGCCAGCTCTGCTGATACTGATTCTAAATCATTAGTGGTTAATGCAATCAATCTTCGGTTAATACAACCTCTATAAAAATGGAAAATTCTGATTACCACGTAATCGCCTCCGGAAACGATATATACCAGAAAAAGGGTAGCCGATCTCCTATAGAAACTATATCATCGGAAGAGAAGAAAATTAATGATTTCCTGGATAGGGTACATAAAGAAACAATTAGTGTCAAAATAAGAGAAAAGAACTGGGAAAAGAAGCTTATATCCCAAGACTCCACTTCGAGTAATGATTCAGAGATTCGCAACGTTGCCTCTTCAACTGAGCAAAAATGAGATGAAATATCTCAATCTCATAAGAAGAAAGAAACAAATAATATCGTACTTCAAAATCTGAGAAAATCATGTTACTAAAATTTCCATGACGAGGAAAGTCCGAAAATTTCAATGAGAAAAATGCTTTCTGTAACGAAAAGCAAAACATTGCTAAATTTAGCCTGTTTATATCAGAAAGCTTGTGATGCGGAAAAGCAAGCAATAAAGGCTAATCAGGATGAAATTTTATGCTGGTATCATTATGTTATAGAATTCAACAATCAGGTTAGGAAAAATGAAAGGATTGGTGAGAGAAAAGCAAAAAGGACTAGTTATGATTTTATTGTTTCCCAGCTTAATTGTAAACGAAATATATTACGCAAACAAACTTAAAGAGCTAGAAGAATCTATGAATTTTGAAAAAATAAGTATTGACAAAAATAATTATATTAAAACATATAGTACACCACCAACTTATGAAATGCTATCAATTTCAAATATGAGTCATCGTCAATCTTCCGTAGGTCAAAGGGATCGATCCGGATCACCCACCCAAAGAGTTTTCAGCGGGAAGGACAAGAATGTTAATCGAGATAATGCAAATAATGGCGTGGGTCAACCTCTGGTTGGAAATAATACAGGTGGAGATTCATACCATAACGCAGATGATGCGGGTGAAAATTTAGACAATGAGACATATGAATTTTCATTTGATTTGGCAAATATTACCCCAGCCCAAAATAAATCTGCATCACAAAATGATAGTGATATTAGTATGGCGATACAGAAAGAGGTAGTCAACCGTTGGAACCTATAAATGAGGAGGGTTAAATTTCGTTTAAAAATAAAGCTCTTTATTACTTCATAGTTAAAATTTCTTTATTGAATGTTTGTTTAATGTATTCCGCAATCTGTTATAATGCATTTTATAATCCAATTAACATTGGTTTGCATTTCTAGCCAATTAGACGATTTCTGTTACAAAACTTGTTTTCTCATTTAGAGAAATGGACTTATAATTAATGACAGCCACTGCATTACTAAATTAGCATTTAAAATTTCATTAACCTTGTACATTTTCTAAGTTTATATAGGTGGTTACAAAATCCAATTGACCAATTCAGCTGGTTAAATAATCTTAATGAACCATAGATAAAAAACTTATAACGAAATTCATAGACCCCTTCAAGTATTATTATTAAAAAGCTGTTTGGATATATTTTAATGCAAAAAAAAAAGTATTTATTAAATGTATTTTTACATAGACATCAGGAAATAGTAACTCCTTACAGCATGACAGGTAAGATGGTAAGATTGTCTTACTTTTGACCAGTTTTGGTGATTAGAACTGGAACAGACTACTGAAGTAGTTCATGAAATTAAAACTGGAGATGCTAATTCAATTAAACAAAAAACATACTGAGTTGCTCCTAGTGAAAGAGAATTCTTGCAACAAGAAATCACTATCATGTTAGAAAAGGGAATTATTTGAGAATCACAAAGTCCTTGGTCTTTGCCCATAGTGATTGTACCAAAGAAAAATGGCAAATGATGTCTATGTGTTGACTACTGAAAACTAAATAAAGAAATTGAAAATGTATGCCCTTTACCCATTATTAACAACATTCTTTGACTTTTTTAAAAATACTAAATGGTTTACAAGGTTAAACTTGGCCAGTGGTTATTAGCACATCAGGAAATTTAATTAGGTGTAGATTTATGGAAATATCACATGACCTCAGGAAATTTACACCTGAAAAATTTAATTTTTTAACTTTGATCAAGATTTAGGTGACAGGGAGCAATTTTCTACAAGAAGATATATGTTTCATTACTATACCATTGATATTTGTGGAGAAATTCACGTTTAAATTCAAACGTCCATGAAAATTTATGCCGTAATTTTTCCGTAAATTTTCGTAATTCTGCTGGAAATTTTTGTGACGTAATAAAAAATTTCCAGCAGAATTATGAAAATTTACGGAAAAATTATGGCATAAATTTTCACGGACATTTGAATTTAAACGTGAATTTCTCCGCGAATATCGATGCTATAGTAATGAAACATATATCTTTTTGTAGCCAAAAACCAGGGCTTTCGATCTATCTTAGAAATATCTTAGTAGAAAAGCGCTTCCTGTCGCCTAAATCTCGGCCAAAGTTAAAAAATTAAATTTTTCAGGTGTAAATTTCCAGAGGTCATGTGATATTTCCATAAATCTATGCCTAATTAAATTTCCTGATGCAAGTCACAATAAAAGAAGATAAAAAGAAGACTGCTTTTATTACGCGAATGGAAACTAAAGAGTTTAATGTGATACCTTTTGGCCTGTGCAATACACCTGCTACTTTTCAAAAATTAATAGATAAAACTCTGTAACCTTACATTGGAAAAATTGTAGTAGTATATCTGGATGACTTAACTATATACTCTGATACTTTTGAAAATCATCTGAAACACCTTGCTATTATTTTTGACACACTACAAAAAGCAAATTTAAAAATCAATGTAAACAAATGTCAATTTTTTTTATCCGAAATTAAATTCCTGGACCATGTTATTTCCAAAAAGGTATTCTACCTGATGAAGACAAAATTATTAAAGTTAAAAACTTTAATAGATCAAATAACTTATGCCAACTGAGAGAATTCTTAAGATTAGTCTCTTATTATCACAAGTTCATTGAGAACTTTTCCAAAATTGCCAAACCACTTAATAAATTATTACAAAAAGATACTAAATTCAAATGGACTGAAGTACAACAACAGTTTTTTAAAACTTTAAAGGTAAAATTAATTTCTGTCCCTATACTAAGACACTCTGGTTTTAATCAACCTTTTTACTTATATACTGATGCTTTTAGATCAAGATTAGGTACAGTATTTACACAAAAAGAAGGCAAAATTGAATATGCAATTGCCTATGCAAGTAGAAGCTTAAATAAAGCTGAACAAAACTACTCTACAAATGAATTAGAGTGTTTAGCTATTGTCTGGACCATTAAATACTTCCATCAATATTTTGGAATAGCCCATTTCTATATTGTTACTGACCATTTGACTTTACAATAATTAAGGACCACAGAATTAAAAGAAAAGTGTGCTTACTGGATTCTCAAATCAAAACCTTATAATTATACTATTTTATATAGACCCAGAAGAACACATAACAATGCTAATTCTTTATCTTGAATATATGAAATTTAATAATCAAATTATTAAAACTTATTAATATAATATAATAGTAATCTGACAAAGTCAAAATATAATTCAGTTAGGTAGTTGGTATCTTGATATCTAAAATTTTAAAACCTTTATTATATTTAAATATTTTTACTTTTCTAAACATGGATTCTCAAGAATACCAATACTTTTTAAATCATTTATCACAACAACACTTATCTACAATTGATAACAAGAAAAGATTAGAATTAAAAAGCAGATTTTATAAAACACAAAATAATATTTTATATAAAAAAGATTTAAGACATAAAACTCGCAACAAACTATTGAAAGTATTAAGACCCCATAAAGTAAAATCTGTTGTCTTCATGATGCATAATCACTCTTTAGAAGGACACTTAGGTGTTGATACAATTTTTAGAAAATTAGAAACATATATTATTGACCACAGATGTATGACAATATTAAATCTTATATACAATCCTATAACACATATCAAAGAAGAGGAAAACAAAAGAAAACTCAATTATTATAACTGATTCCAGTAGAAGATCCTTTCTATCAAATAGGAATTGATATTGTTGAACCTTTACCTCAAACTCCAAGAGATAAACACTATATTGTTATTGCTACTGACTATATAACAAAATGGTCAGAAGCAGTGAAGCAACTGCAAGCAAAGCTACTAAATTCATATTTGAAGACATTATTTGCCAATATATTTATCTGTATATAAATTTATCTGACTGAGAAATCCACTTTAGAAATAATATGATAGCTAATTTATTAGCTCATTTTTATATTGAATATTTATTTTCTACACCCTACTATCCTTAAACAAATGGACTAGCAAAATAATTCAATAGAACTTTATGTGAATCCCTTGCTTGCACTACTGAAACTGTTACAGATTGGGATATAAATATTCCTGTTGTCCTGTTTGCATATCGAATAGCAAAATAAGCTATCACCAAAATTGAGCCCTTTTATCTTGTTTATGGAAGACCTGCCTGTATACCCTTTACAGAAGGAATTGAACATGCAGAAGAAAATTTGTTAACACACTTATTTCACTTAGTTAATGAATTTCCAAAAGAAAAAGATAATATAAGTCCAGAATCAAAGTTAAATAAAAAAAACAGAAAAGTTATCTTGACCAAAAAGTTAAAATTATCATAATATATGAAATAAGTAACAAAGTTTAATATACAATGCAATAAAAAATAAAAATTTTTCTGGTAAACTTGAACCAAACTGAAAAGGACATTACTATATTTATACAGTACCACATCCTGATATGTACAAATTGAGAATCTTAGATTGAAAAGTTCCAAAACTACTAATTAATAGTTTTCTATTGAAGAAATATAATAAAAGAAATTCTTAGGTACCACAAATTACAATTGAGCAATATGATACTATTTAAACAAGTTAACAGTGTAACTTTATTTTCTATAAAATTATCAGCCCTCTGAGAATTTTTCTTTTTTCAAAACATTTTTTAGTCAATTTAATATATAGAAAATATTACAATATTATTCAGATTTAATTAGAATTGGAAGTTATACTGTAAGACAGATTGATCGACCTTATAATTTAAATTATACATGGAAAATTTTTGCCTAATATATATATCATCAACTACAAGCTGCCATGAATTCTCACAATAGAATCATGACTTTAGTATATTGTTACTATTTAGAAAAACTTGTTCAGTTTTCAGTAACTCCTAAAGCTAAATGGAAAGAATTTGTTCAAGATAATCAAATTCCAAATCATTATTATTTATATTAAGGAATTACTAAATTTAATAACTTTTTAAGAAGAATCCAAGTCAAATGTATTGTACCATAACCTTGACTTATAACACTATTTCCAGAATAAAAGTTTTCACTTTTAATGAGTTGTTAAGATACAATGATGATCTTAATGACTTGTTAACTTTCTTGAGTTATTATAAGATAAAACCTTATGATTAAATTGGAAAGAATTGTTACCTTTACTTTTATTAATTATTTTATATTTTATTATTATATATTTTATATCATATATTTATTATTTTATTACTATTTATTATTTATTTCTTATTATTATATATAGTAGATCAATTTATTAGTCTGTAGTACATAGTATAAATTAATTATTATTACTTAAATTAGTAGATTTCTAAATTCTTGTAAGTCTGTAATACTAGAATACAAATTAGAGTACAAGTCATAGTATGAGTTAATATTTCAGTTAAAGTACAAGTTAAATTAACAGTTAAGGTACTAGTTAAGATATTAGATACTAGTAAAGTTTTCAGTCAGATTACAAGTTAACTTAGTAGTCAAATCTATCATATATATAAAGGTTGAGAATTCCCTCAACTCAGTCTTCAGTTTCTAGTTTAGTTGAAGTTCAATTATTTTTTCAGTTTCTTAGTTTCTGAATTAGTTTTCAGTTAATTAGTTAAGATTTATTAAGTAATAAAGTTAATATTACAAAATCTTTTGAGTTCCTTGTTTATTGTATTCCTTTTGATAATTGATAAACTGTTTGTCCCTATTAACAAGTTGTTATACCCTGTTAATAGTTAAATATGCCTCTTTTATAATTGATCATACATAATTCCTTCCATGTATAAAATCTTTT